GTAATAGACACAGAAGAAAAAGGGAAGAAACTCAAGATATTAGACAGTTATCATTATTAGAAAAGTCCTGATAACCATAAGAAGAAGAAAAAGATATTCTGAAGGTCTAGAGACTGCAAAAGATGTTTTGGTAACAGCAAGTTCCTCAAATATTGAGTCAAATGAAATGTGTTAGACAGCACAAGATGATGATTCTGTACATATTAGTGATAAATCTTTTATCCTCAGTGCAGAGATAATGAATGTGGCAGTGAACGCCAATTGATAATAGTCTGAGCAGCTGCTTGCTAAAAGAAGAATATATATTCTCATCTAAGTAAAAGGAAAACAATCAGGATTATAATAGCACAGAAATAGAAGAAATAATGTTGACCAAGAACGACGAAATCGTAGAAGTTAAAACTAGTGAATACATATCCTGGTTGATTTGACTATGCTGACTGCTATTTCTGAGATGGATGGAACTTGTAAAAGAAATAACTGAAAGACTCATTTGCCAAGAACTTGGTATGGAAAATCGAGGTAGTACCTTGGCTGCATCCCATAACATCACAGTTCTGTCAAAAGAGGATGTTGCAAACACCATTGAGTTTGGTCTAAAACGGATATCTGTAATGAGATGAGCATGACCTTCTCCACATTTAACATCACTATTTTCCACGTCCCAAATTACAACCTAAACATAGATCGTACAAGTTCGTTAACAGGAGAAATTGAGAGAAGCGCTCTCCCATTAAAAATCCTTTTATAAGCAAAACAAACCTTCCTCTCATGACCAGCAGTAGCCAACAACTTTCCTTGTGAATGGAAGTGGCAACATAGGAGCTTGCTCTTTGTTGCGTGAAGGCTTCCAATCTCTTTAATAGTGATGCCTGCAACGCAATATGAAGTCAATTATCCTTTATGCTGATAACCAACAATTTATCCAACAGGGTAAGAGCCTCAAAAAGTCAGAAGCTACAGTGCTTGATCTCAAACCCTAAATGTGACACCACACATTCTTTTCATTTTTCCCCGTTTTAAGATACAATTATACTGAAACAATATAAAATCTTGCAAATTTCACAACAGAAACTTACAGATGACACCATCTATTTGCCGCCATGAGCAGCTGCCACATCACTACTTGCTTTTAAGAAAAGAGGTTCATAACAAAGTACAATATCTTACATCAACTATACATCTTCAGATATGTGCTATGAATCTTCCACTAGTCCCCTAAAACACTAGTGGCATCTGGAAGAATGAAGCAGGGTATAATGCTAATAAACCCAGCACGATTGGGTTTGCTTGGGGTAGTGTTATTTCCTGAACATAAGAGAATTAGATGCACGAACTAGCTGGGTGAGTTTAGAACCTAACAAAAGGTGAGACCGGTTATGTACAGTTCAACATCAGAGCCTAAATCTAAAGTTGTAAAATGATTCATGGAGGATTAATTTCTGTTGACTGTCAATTATCTAAATTACTATCTTTTTTAATATTAATTTTTTTTTTACCCATTAAGCTTGTTGTAAGTTGTAACCTACCTTTCCGGTCAGATTCAATGCAAGCAGCAATACTTTTCCTCAATGCAGCGAGTGAATTACTTGCAGCAATCAGACCAGCATCTCCCCGGGATAAGTAGCTGTCGATATTGCCATTCATAATACGATCTGTAGTAGCTTTCTCTTTCCCAACCTACATCTCAGGAATATATTAAATGAGCAAGAATAAAGTTGACGAAGACTACATAGACATTTCATACTCATTCGTCCAAGTGACTATAAAGGTGACAGAGACAAGAATAAATTAAGAAAGGGGAAGTCCAATCCCCAAAAAAAGATGCAAATGTCAGCGGCAGAGTGAAATGGAAACACCAGTACATGAAGGGCTTTAAGAAGTAGATGCAGAAAATGATCTTACAGCTGCCAGAGAAATCGATGACGTTTTCCTCTTTCTGCCACTCTGATTCAAAACACATGTAAATAAATTAGTCGCCAAATAGGGGAAGATGCACATGTCTCCATTAAGTCTTGTACTGCTAAAATATTGCTGAAATTTGAAGATATTCAAATCAAAATCAGTTACTTTCTTTATGATCTAAGACCAACCTTATTTGAAGACTGCAATCTCAGCTGGTTCGCTTGCTCCTGCACTGCAATTTGCTTCCCAGAATCTTTCATTTGCTTTCCTCCTATAGGAGCTAATATTTGCTTGTCATCTGGTAAATTCTTTGGGGTTCTTTTATTTTTATCACCAAGCATCTGTGCAATACCGGAAGAAGACAAATAGAAGAAACAGTGAGGCAGGAAAAAGATCTCAATCACAGAACATAAAATCCTGAAAACCAATACATGGTCTATTTCACGGCTAAAATAATTGCAGCGTGCTACAATCACTAGGAGCGACAGGATTAGTTGAGAATTCAACTTACTCCTGCATCTTTTCCACTCGATCCAGCTTGAATGAGCACACGATTGAAATCACCAGAACTTGCAGGAGCAGGAAAGTTGAGCTTATCAAACGTTTGAACTGCCACTTCTGGTAATGCATCCTGTTGAGGAGAGAATTTAGTTCTCAAAAACTGTTCCTTTTGAGTTGGTACTATTACACTAGGATGTACTACTTGATGGCTAATGACAGGGGGAACTGGGCCAACTCCCTGGGTTGAAGATAAAAGGAATTAATCAACTTAAATTAGAACTCGAACTAAAACACCATAATGGACTATACATTTCTATTTATGCAAAAGTTCAAGACACTCACAGCTAACGGCCATCCTTGATGAGATGATTGTTGGAGAAACCTGTTGTTCCCTGCAGGTACAATGCAAAAAAAAGATCACAGGAAATTTGAAAATTTAAAAAGAGAAAGATAAGGAGATCTAAAAGTGCATAAAATGCCAACAGAAATATTAAAGGGAATAAATTGGCTAATCTACTAACATGATGGCACATTGTACAATCTATTAACAACAACAACTAAGCCTCAATTCCAAGCTAGTTGGGAACATTGTGCAACCTATCGTTAAAAAGTATTTGAAATGTCATCTATATGATCACTGCAAGAACTTCTCCTGGTGGTTATTCTGAAGAGAACATGCAAGTGCAAAGCACTCATCACACTGATTATTTTTCTGAATCTAAGTCTTAAGATAGTCTGCTTATTCATACTTCCTTCCGTGTTAGTTTACCTAGTGTGTTTTTCTATGACAACTTCCAGTTACAATGAATTGAATCTTCAAAGTGAAACTGGAACTAGAACAAAGAAACATAGTAGTAATAGATTGGTCAGCAAACCAACGGAAATCAATTGCATACAAGCATCATCTTCAAAAATCAAAAGTTAAAAAGATGCAAAGGGAAAGTGCATTGAATCAGAGTTCTATTTTCAGAACTTTATTGAATGCCCCCACTGTATACTTGTTCTGGTGGATCTTATTCCTAAGCTGTCATATGTTCATTCTTTTATTACTTCAACCTGCAACATGCATCTTTGTCCAAATGGGAAAGTGTGTCATATATAATCTTAGTTGTAAAGATGTTACTAAAGTTAATGCCTCACTACCCATTGGCATAATCACTAAGGAAATGAGAGTCATCAATAGCTACCTCAGCTAATCTGATTAAGCTGACCTCAGTTTTTCATCCTTGAGCTTTACAAGTCGAGTTCAAACTCAAGCTCAAACATCGAACTAGCTTCAAATTGGAGTAGAGCTCAACAACAACTATGCCTCAGTCGCAAACAAGTTAGGGTCGGCTATATGAATCCTCACTTCTTTCTCTAAATTGGAGTAGAGCTCAACTCAAATAAATTAGACAAGTTCAAGCATGACTTAATATAGTAACAAGCTAATTAATAACCTCAAACTCGAGTTCAAGCTCAAATTACACCTACACCCACACACACGGATAGTATAATAGATTTACATCTTAGAATCAAATCGGAAAATATTTTCACATTAATATCTATATAATCTTTTTATTCGCTATGAATGTAACATTAAAGAAAACTCTTAATGGGGTTTACACCTAAGTTGCTCCGACACGGCAATTTAGGTGTGCACCCGTGTCAACACGACACTGGTGTGGGTATGGGATCCGTACCGGATCTGGTCAAACGGTTTTGGGTACTTTTACCACGACGGACGAAAAATTCGAGACAAAATACAATTTGATTCCCGAAATCAGAACCAAAACTAAGGTAATTTGAAAAAGTGGCATACCTTATCTAGAATATCAATCCTTTACTTTCTGCTTCTCCTTTTGATCGGATAGAAAGAGCAGCAGAGAGCATCAATTGAGAATGGGGAAGACGGAGCCTTCGAGAATTTGGGAAAGCTTGACAGACACTAACTCTAATTTTTATATTAATAATTAGAGATCTAATCTAAATTATAAAAATTAGCATTTTAATTGTAAATGAAAGATAACTATAAAATAGTTAACTTGTAGGAGAATCCAAGAATGGAAGAAAATCAAGAAACCATGCCTACAACTTGAGAATAATGAAGAAATTCACATTTGACAAGTTATCGGTAAGTATTCCACAAAACTTTCTCATAATTTAGAGATATTTTTATATTTTTTGAATTATTTTTAGCCGGATCCCCGCACCTATATCCGTACTAGGATCCATATTCCCGAATCTTAGAATTTACATCTCGAAGGATTCGACCTCTAGATCCGCACATCTGTCGGACACCTGCACCTGTGTCCGAGCAACTTAGGTTTACATTTATGTCAAAATAATTATTTTCACGAACATAAGTCGACCTTAAAGTTACACATGCCTGAATTGTTAAAAAGACAAGCTAAGATTAAGCGAGTTAAGTTGTATTTTCGAACAATGCGGCTCACTTAATAGCCCTAACTAATTGAACAAAGCCACCTTAGGCCTATGCAAGCCACATTTATAAATCTATGACACATGTAGTTCCTATCCTAATTAGTCTCCACGTGGCTTGGCTAGGTCAAGAAGAGATTCACGTAGAGACAATTGCTATTCGAGAATCTATTTCTATGTTAGCTAGTTGGGTAACCTTTCCCATGGTAGACCTCCTTTTGGCCATCTTTATTTGGCGATACTTGTATGTAGCAGGTCATAATGCTCTATATGAGGGTCTTTCAAAGGCTAAAACGGCCCTCATCAATCCCTTGTCCTCTTTTTTACTCTTTTATGTGAACTTGAACAATGGCAATTTACAAGTTGTAAGAGGTCATCACTTCTTTGAGGAGAGGTTAACACCGTTACTTGCCTCATATTAGGCAAGTAGGTGCCGCATATGTGCTATAGAAGAACTTGCTTAAAGAATCGTAGTGAATATCATACTAACCATTCATCGTATTGGACTAGTGCCCAAGGTTAAGAAACTCAATTTGGAAACTTAGCGTGGTCAGAAAATAGATGGAAAACGATCGAGCTCTTATTGCATATAGTCCGGGTAATATTTTTATCAAGGTGGCATGACTCACCAATATATTTAGGCACATTCAAGTTGAAGCTATATATTTCGGTTCGAAAATGACTCGAGCATGATTAGTAAAGTTAAAATACTTGAATGATTACCATATTAAGACTAGTAGAAGAAATGTAAAAAGAAAAAACCTTTTGAAATGTGAAAAAGTATTTAAAAATAATATGAAATGCTATTACTGTACTTCAATTTTATGGGATCAAGATATCACTTTACATGTAAGGAAATAGGTCCAAGGTCATTAGGAACAAGCTAAAGTAGAAAGTAGGACACTTTTATTAAGATTGGTGGTGTAGATTGTAGGATAGATGATCTCTTAAGATGAATGAGAAAGTGCTATGAACCTACAAAGTGAGTGCCGATGTTCAGGATCTTTAGTTCTGAGCAAGGACTTGACATGTTGAGGAGGACTTTTTCTGCTGCCTCTAATAGTCATATCGCCTGTGATGATACTCTTTATTTATGACAACTCCTCTGCAACCTCGACAAGATCGGATTCCATCAAGAAGAGTATGATTAGGAGATTCGTGAACAAATTTGGTGTGTCACAATTAATCCAAATGAATACCACAAGGGAGCATAGGGCATGCATGTCGAAGAAAGGTTTGTTTTATTCCCATATTCTATAAAATATGACTCCGGTCATGCTAATCACAGCTAAGATCGGTCAAATCGCACATGATAGGACCCTTTATTTATGACTACTCTGCAACCTTGAAAAGATCGGATTTCATAAAAAAAAAGTATGATTGGAGATTCATGAACATATTTGGTGTGTCACAATTAATCCAAATGAATACCACAAGGACCATAGGGCTATATGCATGTAGATGAAAATTTTGTTTTATGCCCATGTTCTTTAAAATATGATCCCGGCCATGCTAATCACAGCTAATGTCACTTGGAAATTCATTATCACTTTATTAATCCAATAAAGTGGTTGATGCAAGATTCGTAGGAGAAGGCGCCACCATATTTGCATAACAAAATGTTTATATTTATGCTTATATTGGCTGAGCACATTTATTAAGACTTGTATAAGAGGAAAACATACAAGCTTTCCGCTTTGGTATATACTCCTTTGCTTTTCCACACTGTTTAAAATGGTTAAAGGGAAAGAGAAAGAATTCCTAACTGGAGGTTTATGTATTTCTCCACCCCAACAAGTAGTAGTCATAGACGTACTTTGAGCTTCTAATTAAACCTTGCCGAAATCAGAATAACCTTAGATTAAATGATTTTAGACACTCGAAAACGAGTAAACTCTGAAATAGGTTCCCTTGACTGGAGAATACCTGAGAAAATGCAGTACTTGATTAACGTTAAGGACAATGGATTTAGACGCTTTAAGATGGCTTCAAGTTGAGCCTCATTATGTGAGCTTGTTTGGAAGAGAGATCAGCTACATGACAAGATATGAAGGAAGAATTTTGTGACAGCAGTTTCCATTTGGATCGTTTCTAGCTCAATGACATAAATGTCAGGTCCCAATTTGAGAAGTCTTCTGCAGTCTCAAGAAATTCCATTTGGATCATTTCTAGCTCAACGACACAAAATTCAGGTCCCAAGTTGAGAAGTCTTTGGCAGCTCTTAAGCCATTCTTGCTGCTCTATGAGATATCATGTGACTGCGCGAAGGACCTTAAAAGGTCAAGCTTCCCATTTAGGTGGATCCTTTACTTTTCTCTTTGCTGGTAAGGTCTTGCTGGTTCTGTACCACTGACTAACAGGCAGTGAAGTAAGAAGAGAGCAGCTATCAGTGTAAACACTTCATTATGTGTGTTAGATCTTTTGTTTTCAGAACTTCAAGTAGAAAAGACTGGTAACCTTTATGGAATTCAAGGGAACTGAATTCTGATCTTTTTTCCCTTTTACCAACTTAGGAACTCTCTTCCACTTATAGTCTCCCTCCTATCCACCTTAAGATGTCGAACAGGCTACAAGGAAGCATTCCCCGTCCCTTGAAAAATAATACTCCTATTTTCCCTTTATTCTTACCTTCAACTGAATCTAGAATTTCTGAATCTTCCTCAATCATATGCATGCTACTCCAAGACACAGCTCATCTTTTTCGAGTCTGTTTCTGATTCTTCCTACGTTGAATCTAGGTTTCCCCAGTACTAATCCAAGGAAGGAGGATATTCAAAAAATCAAACAAGGATTCCCACCTTCCGAAAAGATCTAAGACAAACCACTTTCCTGAATAAACATCCGCTATAGGAACGAAAGATATAGTCTTTTGCTTGGTTTTAATACTCATCTGGTTACCCCAAGAAATGCTTATTCACTAACCAACAAAGACTGATATTATTTAATAAGCCTATAAAGGGTGGAAAGCTAATCCCGTCTGTGAAAGGTTAGTCCAAGCCACAATGGTCAATTTTCCTAATATGACCACCAATAGGAATCTTAGTCTTTCGAAATTTAACTAAGAGATTGACCATGCATTTCTCCAGCTTCATCTTTTCTATAAAGCAATACTACAAACTTTCCAATAGAAGCATTATTACTTGATACGGATCACTATCACAACTTCTGTCTCTTCTGTGTTCCCCGTGTGGATTTACCTTCATAATCACCTATAAAAGACTACTTTCAAGAGTTCAATTTAATTTGTTCTCCAACACAACAAGGACCAATTGCATTGTTGCAATATTATCACAATTAGCGCTATAACTTCAATCATACATCGTTCTAGATGTAACTATATCGTCTCAAACCTAACGCTTCAAGCCCCTGATCCTGAATTTACCAATGTACCATTACTTTACGGGTAAAAGATAGATACTCAAGACCACATCTACATGGTCGTGGTAAACTTTGACTTGTACACTACAATAGTATTGCATCCTTTTTCCACCAACAGCAAAAGCAATAACAAACTTCCTGAAGAGCTTTTTCTCCCAGATATCTATTTGGTTCAGAAAATAGCAACAAATATCTAATAATCGGGAGAAAGCAACCACTATCATTTAATGCTTAATACCTTTTGAAATGTTTGAATCGGAAGGTATTCAACACAAAAACACTAAGGGTGTAGTCACAGTTAAAGCTGGTATTACAAGGGAGTCAAATGCTCAATATTATGAAGAAGTAACAGATTGTTCATGCCTCTTCATCATTTTCAAAGATGATAGGTGATCCCTCTCTCATTGCATGACTTTCTTTTCTTTTTTTTGATAAGGTAAATTGTATTAATAACTAAGTAGCAGCTTTCTCAAAATATCAACTTCTCCATCCCATGCTTATAGGAAGATAGTAATCAAACAATCTTCATTTGGCTAAAAGGATTTGATGCAGAGCCTGATAGCAAGAGCAGCAGAGCGTCTGTTATTAGTTTCCCACTAAAGCAGAGAAATGTTTAATTTGTCCTGGAAGGACTAATAACTAACAAGTACATCAGCAAAACCTAGTTATGGTAGACATATAATAATCCAAAATAAAAGGGATTTATAATTTGCTGCACATTAAAAGTGAGACAGTCCTCTTCGATATATGCGCATTTATCCTTCTAATGGATTTGTTCTTAATGCATGTTGAGTGACTTGTAAGAGAAAAATCAATCAACTGTTCACATGTCCAACATTATCAATGCTAAAGACAAAAGATTCTATAAACTAAATGTGAAATATATTTAAAGCCAAAATATAAACAAACCCGCATCAGAAGGTTCTGGCAAAGGAGGCAAAGCATTTGCAGGGGCACCAATATTTGGTCCCAATTGTGTAGCTCCTCCAAAGTTTATACCAGGCATGTCATCCTGGGAAGAATAAAACCTTTTCAATTATTTTCAAGTAATTATTAAAAAGCTTGCAAATGTTTTGGGGAAAGGTAAACATACTCTTGCATTCCACTGTGGAGGAACAGTTGGAATTTGCTGCAATGGATAGCTGAAGGACATGAACATACATCATAGAAATTAGAAGATTCTGATACACAAACTTCAACAACCAACGTAATGTTTTCACATGCAAAACATGCATGTATTATCAAGATAATGTGAAAACTCTATCTCATATTACCGGATGAGACAGTTGGTTCTAGTACTAGAATAAATAGCATGTCTTGATAGCCAAGTTTTGCAAGAAACTCTTGGCATTTAATATATCAGAAGGTCATAATAGCAATACACAGATAGAACAAGAACTTGATTTTGGTCAATCTTCTTTTGTTGCCTTAGTGGCTTAAGACGATGACATCAGACCAAGGAGAACATAGCCTCAACTCAAGCGCTCAACCTTTATCCTCGTTGAAGCGACTTGGCAGACATTGTAAAATAGATTAAAATATGGAAAAATGGTCAGTTTAGCAATAAACATAAGATGCTATTACCCGGAATTGCTTGCAAATGGAAGCATGCCATCCATTTCACTCATCTCAAGAAACTGTGAGCTTGATGGCATGTCCCTTGGAGGAGATAAATTTGGTAATTCACAAATGGATGACAATAAATCTGAAATCTTAGCATCCATAAGATCAGGACTGCCGGATTCCATCAATGGAGAGGATGCTATCAAATGAGGGGGCGGAATTATAGGAGAGGACGCCATCACATTAGAGATGTCTGCTCCTGTATGGTTAGAAGCATAGGATGGATTTGCAGGACCACCATTAGACACAATGCTCTTCACTGTCTGTGCAACCTGAGAGTTTAGAAATCAAGCATTTAGTTAGCAAGAATTATTTCACATCAGTTAAACATGAACATGGAATAGAAAGTTCCACGGGTTTCCGGATGGTGTATGCAGAAATATCACATGCCATCTGGATTGAGAGAAATCTGAGGATCTTTGAAAAAAGAGCTAGAGCTTGGAATGCTATTGCACTTGAAGTAGCATACATTTGCAACATTAGAGCTACCACTGGCATTCAGAGATTAGTGCAGAGTTATATTTTTGTTTGAGTGTAGAGAATTCATGTTACATAGATGATAGAGTTGTAATGAGATAGCTAGTTGTGTAAGCGATGCTATGGTTTTGTACCGTTTTATCGGTGATTAGTATAAAAGCGATTAATTACC